CATGTATATTTTGGTGTCATTGGTGGTAACAATGACCTAAACATCCTGACCAATCACCACTATTCAACGATAAGCTGCTTGAAAAAACACCAAAATGTTCATTTCAATTGAACGAGACTTGTTGATCACATTCATCATACGTACATACAGTGTTGTAAAAATCCCGACTAGGTCCTGGTTAATCTCCGATTAATCCATAGGCGCTATCCGACCAACTAGAAGGCGCCTAACGATTAATCTTTGCTTACAAAATGATTGAAGCAGTAGCAAACAATGAAATTTTAACACTTTGAAGAAGTTTTATCTCAATAGAAACTATTTGAGGAATGATTAGTGTTGTATTAATCATATTAAGATATTTTGTTATGATATTAGTGGTCTTTACGAACTTTGTTATGATATTAGCCATATTTTTTTTTTAAATTCAACGAAATACCAATTTATGGTTTCCGCTTAATCCCCCGATTAATCCCTTAACTCCGGTCCACCGACTAGCTAACGTATAGCGTTTTTTACAACCTTGCGTACATACCTTCTCTTGATAACTAGTTTTTTTTTAATAATCGTATTAAGATTTCAATTATCGTATTTAGGTTTTAAATTTCCGTTTGTAGTAAGGTGCTTTTTTAATACAATGTCATTTTTTGTTTATTTAATTGAATTTATAAATGTTTTAAAAAAAATGTAAAAAAGAAAATTATATAAGCTGGAGGGTTGGAAAAGAACGATTCCTTATATTGAAGGTTTGGAAAGATGAGCATAAAAGGAGAAAGAAATACGGATATTGTATATATAGGTGGCAAGAGGGTGGGCTAGGATCCATTGTTTCTAGTAAATAGTATGTTAATGTATAACCAAGTCTTGACCATTTGATGAAAAGAATGAAGGGCGGTGATATTAGGATACATGATATTAAAATGGACTAGCATGTATCATATAATAAAACTAAAACATGTATCATATAATAAAACTAAAACAGTATAAAAGGGTATTGTGAACATTTCATGTTTATTTATTTATAGAATGTGCAATAACTATGTGATTGATTTTTTTGACTATTTTGGGAATAATTATGGGATGGATTTTTCTAAACCTATTCTTAACATAATGCGGTTCATTCTTGAAATAATATAAAATTTTCTTCACATAATACATTTATAGAATATAAATTATAATTCTACATGTGACATTCTCATGAAATTCTTGAAATATTCAACAACATGCTTGTAAATATGTTGAAAAAAACAAATTCTTGAAATAATAAACAACATTCTGGAAAGAGTAGAACATAAATTACAATTGTACAAATGGCATTCTCATGAAAATGATAAAACGAAAGAAGGAAAACATGAAAATACAGGTGACGTTTAGTAAGAATGAAATAAAAACAATTACAAATATGTTATTCTTGAAAAAATACGAATAATAAAGACATTCTTAAAAGAATACATTCATTCTTTCAAGAATAACCATCTTTCTATTTTCTTCAAAATCACACCACCATCCATTTTTGTTAACATAGGTTACATCCTCAATAAAAATCGATATAACCATCCATTCCCATTTTTTCTGCCTCTCCAGAAAACCCTAGCATCAAACATAGTGTTGGTTGAGTCGGACAATTTGAAACTAAAATACTATTCCAAATAATAAACAAATCTTTGAATACAACCACATACACACTCCAAATGATTGTAAAACCACACTTAATAAACAAAGAATTTAAGCTTGAAAAATAAGAATTAAGGAATACCCATATCAAGAAAGAATAACAAAAGCTTAAATCACATATCGGAATGAAGAATAAAGAAGAACCCATCTCAAATTGCATTTTGTAGTTCAGAAAAAATGAGATCTAATCGTGTTAAATTAGAACAAAAAATAAATTGAAGCTACACTTGAGTAGTAGTCAAGAATTGAAGCAAAAAAAACTAGATTTCTGATAAAAAGATGATGGTTTGTTTACCTTTCTTGCTAACGCTGACGATGAACAAGCACACCCTCATCTTCATCTATATACACCATCGTCACAGACATACAAAAATCAGATTGGTAGAGAAGTGTGTTTCTTGATGAAATCAAAACCAACGCAGATAAAAAAATAGAGAGAAAGAAACTAAGAATTATGGTCTTGTGGTCTTTCTTTGACGTTCTTGAGTTTATTTTGTGAAGATGGTGGCCAAAGCCCATAATCACTTGATGTTATTTTTGATTTGAGCCCTAATCAACCAAATTCATTCTTAATTTCATATTTTAAGATCGTGAACATAGTGATGACAGGTTGTGTGCACGATGGCGGTGCATAGGGGATTGTCTTATGTCGATTGTTAGTTAAAGAAGAATTAGAACCGAAAGGCACCTATTACCAGTTGGTCGTTGGTCGTCAGAAACATTAACGAAGGAGGCGGCAGCAGGAAAGGTGGTGGTGGTGGTGGTGGTGGTCAGTAGAGATGGTGGAGACAGTAACGGAGATGATGGTGCCAAAATGAAATTAGTTGTCTTAATTATATAATCATAATTATTAATTAATTAAATTTTTATGTGTTAATTTACTTTAATGCCGTCCATATTTAGTTACACATTAACACAATACTTGTTGTTTACATATGATCCTAGCTCACAAGAGGGTTAGGAGGTTTGGAAAAGATCCAATCCTCCCACTTAATTAGTTGATAATAACAACTATGTTTATAAATAAGGGTAATTAAGTAATCTAACAACTTTTGTATAGATTTTTTTAAATAACCAATTATTATTATTATTGTTATTTGAAAAATAACCATCATGTCCAAATAGGCCATTCTAGAGCCCATTTCGGACTCTGGCGATCCGGCTTGGCCTAACAACGATTTTCAATATGATATTTCATAATGTATACCAGAATATCTACACATTTCCTACTAAAGGAAAATAAAATATGTCATCTGATTCAGATGAGTTTGAGTTTGAGGTTTTACGGGTGAGATCTTGACTCCTTCAACTTTTATTTACTAAATTTTATGATTATTTCGGTAAATTAGTAAGTCCCGAACATGAAAATCATGTTCGAACACGAAGATCATGTTTGGAATGTTAGGTTTAATCTTTTATTTAGTGTTAGGACCAATCCAAAAATAGTTTATTTAGTGTCATACGTTATTGTATATGTCCGGAATGTTATTGTACATCGAATTTTGGTAATCCAGCAGACACATGCGCATTCGAGAACATGTCCAGAATTCGAAGAACTTGTCTGGAATGCAAAGAACATTTTTGGAATTCTCATCGCAGTTTGTTCTAGAGCACCATTTACACTTTGTAATTATCTTAAAAGTATTATTATTATTGTTTTTTGTAGCATGACAACATGTTTGGTGGTTCTCTTACACTATCACCATTGCATAATTGTATAACCCCTAACATTCATAGTATATATGAACAATTTGATGCTTCACTATTGTTTTTCCATCGATTTCTCACTTATATACCACCAATGGAGTTTTGGATGCAGTTATATAGGGACTTTGACTCTGGTTGTAATGTGATGTAAGTTATATACATATGTGATCATTACATAGTATGCATTTAGTAAGGTTACTAACTTTTATGTATAATTGGTAGCATATCATGATTTGGATTTCCGTGTTGATAGAGGATAGCTTGGATGATGCTCGATGGACATTTATGCTGACAGCTTTCGGCACAGATGCATATGACGGGAGTAACATGGTTAATGAATCTATTTACCCAGCTTTGTCTGAGTGTGATACGGTATAATTGTGTTTCAATTACATTATCTAAGTAATGAACACTTATAAGAACATGCTATAATAACATGTTATCTGATGATTACTTAATTCCTACCTTTTCTGCAGCTATACATCCATATCAATATATCGAACTCGCACCGATTTTTGGGAGTTATGGATTTTCGGACATTCACAATGACAATATACGCTAGTTACCAGACCGACAACCATATTTCAAACTCTCATCAAGCCCGTATCCATAAACCACTAGTGGGTATCAACTATTGAGGTACCAAACCCACTTATGTAATCTCACTTAAGAGTTTCAAAATCACCCTTGTGTAGGGCATGAACGCACCAACAGTCTACCGTAAAGGGGATTATAGAGCGTTCGTTTGTTGATTCCTATAAAGGTTGAGTGGGGGCAATTTGGTGACCATGGAGGGTTGCACCAAGATCGAGTCATATCGATGGCAATTTGAGGAAATTGTATGGGGTACAAATAAAAAGTAGTGGTCGATTTGGACATTATATTATTAATTAGACATATTTAATTTTATGTAATTATTATTTTTTACTATAGATTTAAGGGTTTTCATATAATTACATTTTAGAGTATGTTTTTGAAATACATCTTTTTTTTAGTTAACCATTAACTAAACAATAGAAAAAAAATCAATTAATCTTTGGAATGTCACTCCGAAACAACCTTGACAATAATTAAACAAAAAAAAATCTATGTAATGGGGTCTTGGAATTTCGAATTAAGCTCCAGAATGTTTTATTCTTAGACTATATATATATATATATATATATATATATATATATATATATATATATATATATATATATATATATATATATATATATATATATATATATAGAGAGAGAGAGAGAGAGATAGGTTCAAATGTTTTTAGCAACTATTGTGTGCCTAAATGCACCAATGAGAATTCAAAAAATAACAAATAATTAAATATATCATTTAAGGGTATTTTGGACCTTTTGTACTTTTAATTAAGAAAATCATTTAATTGAAATCCTGTAATTAAGGAAATAAAGTAAATATATTTGACCTACTCGTGTGTGGTAGAACACGTCCATTGCTGACGGCACCAATTTCTTCGCTTGGCAGAGGATCCCGACGGCTTTTTCTCCCTCTCCTGCTGGTTGTTTCCTCTTCGCCGCCTGAACAATCTTTATCTGTGCCGTTATTCGTGTTGTTTGTGAGACCAATTTCAGACAATAACTGTTTCTGAATAATCTTAATTAATGGATTCTTCGAGGAGGTACCAGCCGCCTGCTTGTAAGGCTGGATATTATTCTTCGTATCAGCATATTGGGTCTGATTATGGTTAATTGAGTCAGAATTTTGGGGAAATTGATCATTGACTATCGCATTTTTTCTTCTGGTTCGATTCAGGAATGTCAGTAATCCCTCCATCGACCGTCTTCAAGCTGTCAGTAATCCCTCCAACTAACCGTCTTCAAGCTGTCAGGTATGATTCTCCCTTGGGTTGATTTCTCTTTTTTCTTTGTTTGAAACTAATTGGATTTCATTGATTGAGAATTCAATAATGGAATTGGACCTGTCTTATCCAAGTGTTTGATAATAAAACATGTCTTCCAAGTGTTTGATATAATGTCAAAAAGAGAGTTTTTGGGTAAAAGATGCAAGTTTGATATGTTTGACTTATTGGGAAGATTCTGTCAGAATATGTTAAGGTAACATGTTTATACTTGTGTTGAAATGTTCTGTTAGAAGTAAAGTAGATAATATTTTGTTAGACTTCTTAAGGAATTGAAGTTTAAGCAACAAATAGAAATGAAATATTTTTTTAGAATTGATGTTAATATGTGTAGTTATGTTATTTTGGTGTTTTTATTTTATAAAAAAAATGTTGTAAATTCTATTAGAATATAAGTTAAAACTTGTTTGTATTCTGTCAGAATTTATTTATATAAATGCATTCTGTCAAAATGTCTTTAAGAATGTTTTATTAACAACAAGTATATTTGTTTAACTGGTAATGCATTCTAACAGAATTACGAGTAATGCATGTTATTAGAATAGCGATAGTATATTCTAGCAGAATAACTAGTAATGCATGTTGTTAAAATAAATTACAATTGTTTGATGTATACTAAATTCTATCAGAATTTATAGTTGTTATTCTTTTAGAATGCTCCGAATTTTTTAATATTTGAAAGTTGATTATGTTTTTTTTTTTTTTTTTGTGGATTTAGGTTTTGAAGAGACTGTCATTGATGTGGAAAAGGAGAAAAAACATGGAGAACTAGAGTTTTTTTTTGCAAAATGTATAAAGTGTGTCTTAACAATAATATTCTTTTGGAATAGATTATTGTTTTTGTTAGATTTTGATGTTTTTTTTTCTTTTTTAACCATTTTTAGTTTTAATCTTTAAGAATAAATGTAATCTGTATTTTTTAGAAAATGTTATTCTTGATAATATGTTATATAATTCTTTAAGAATGTTTAATATAAAAAGTATCTTGAATGAAACAATATTCTGCAAGAATAAAACCGAAAATATATTTACTAGTTTATTGTTGATTTTTTGTCATTCTGACAAAATAAAATCTGTTATTATTAAAAAAAATATTAAAAATTAATTAGAATTAAATTAAAAAATTCAGATTTTTAAAAAATAAGGGATTTAATGATCCCTTAAAATCCGAAAATTTCCTTTTTTAAAATAGGTTAATTGACCAAAATATCTTTTTGCTGAAATTTGTGTGATTATATGATACATGCTACCCTATGGTAATATCATAGACCCTCATATCATGATTGTTGATTCTATTCATCCAGTGGTCCAGATCTGTGCATTCTGACACACAATAGTTAGTAAAAACAAAATAACTCAAGCATATATATATATATATATATATATATATATATATATATATATATATATATATATATATATATATATTATCAAACAGCCACATTTATATAGGTTATAGATTACTTAATTTGCCTATAAATAAATATTAATTTGTACATATGTTGCGCTTCATTTTATAAATTGAGAACAAAACACACATACACACACAGGCTTGAAGCTTTTCTCTCTCTTACACTCCCTCCAATTGTTAGCTGTCCTCTAAAATATTACCATAGTGATTGAGATCATTTGTCTCCTACAATCTCCACTTCTTAATTTATCAGAGGTTTTTTACAGTTGACTTCCAAGATCAGAGGTACCTTCAACATCAAATTTATCAGAGGTACGTTCAACAGCAAATTCCCTTTAAACAAACTCTGTGTTTATGCAACCATTAGACGTTGATTCTTTCTTCTTCTTGGAATCTAGCTATTCAATACATGTTATGTATCTGTTTATTTAGGGGTTAATGATGATTAGGTTCATATAGCATCATCCATGGAAAATCAATTTAAGAACATATGAGAAGGAGATGATCAATTGATTACTTGTGACTGGAAGTAGCTCGAGATTACTGTTTTTAGTCTTCCATTTGTTTTTCAATTCATCATTAAATTTCTACATCTTCATTAATAATATAATTTTCTGACATTAAGTCAAGTCCGACGGCCTAAGACTTTTGTTTTATTGATTTTCGTTATCACAACAATTTTTCTCACGAATACGCTATAATAACAACTTCTTATCTTTTATTTTTGACTTTACACGAATAATGTAATTAATTTAATCGTTGGAATCATTGTAAAACGGCAATTTTATCATATAGAAAATTTTCTATGTACAAAATTTTCAACATTATTGATTTGGTCAATGGTCATGGTCAACTTCGGTTTTTATTCAACTTTCCTACCACCTTCTTTAACACATGTCTACACATGGATGATGGACTTGTTTGTTATGTTAAATAAACTAATTCATTATGTCTCATTGCATTTTTTTTTCTACCAAATATAGTCTAACATCTTGGATATCTGTTAGGTATTACCCTTTTTTTCCTTTCTCACACTAATAAGTAGTTCTCTTATGAAACTATGAATCAAATGCATCATTTTTTTTGTAGTCACTTTGTCTTCTTATTTTATTTTTTTGAAAGATCTGATCTTGATTATCATTCTTTGTAGGTAATTCAGTTGTCTATCTTTATCATCACTATTCATCACCATGTCCATGTTTAGGCGTCGTGGGTCACAACGACAACAACAAGAACAAGAACATCATGAGCTTCATCCTGAGTCTAAGGTAACATATTAACTAATTTGATAATTTCAATCTCAAATACAACCAATTTATTAAACAAATACTAGCATACTTACACACCATTTCTTCAAAATTGTTGCATACATTAATGAATCGGGTTTCTTTCAATCATAACTCTTATCCACTTTGACCTTATCATTTTATAACTTGTAGATCAATGAGCTTAAAGCAGCAATTGGTCCTCTTTCTGGGTGTAGTTTACTATATTGTACTGATGCATGCTTAAAAAGATATCTTGAAGCACGAAATTGGAATGTAGAGAAAGCGAAAAAGATGTTGGAAGAGACCCTTGCGTGGAGATCTACCTATAAGCCTGAAGAAATCCGTTGGGTTAGTGCTCGTTCCATTCATCTTTTAACTTTGATTTGAATCAATTTTTGGAAAAGGGTAAATTCTTCTGGTAACCTTTAGTTGACTCACACTGCCCAAAGCATCATGTGAGATATAAATCAGGTACAGGTATACAGCGGTCTGCTAGGTGGCAGACATAATAGTCTAGTGTCACGAGAGTCCAGTCCACATTGGAATTAAAACTCTCACCGAGCCTGCTGAGATTCATACTCTTGACCTTTATTGTATTTGACATGCATTGGACTGTGATTAGAACAAATGTCAATAGGAGAAAAAAAATGCAATTTCTTGTCCAACCTAGAGAGGTAGGACTGAAACTCGCTTTCGATATCTTGTTGGTGCAAAAAGACGTGAATGCCCTTACCTCTCATAAAAAATAGTCCTAGAAAGCCTGTCTAGTAGAGTATAACAAACAAAACATTATTGAACGTATTTTTTACATGTATTTTTTTTTTCATTTTTTAGCATGAGATCGCTAAAGAGGGTGAAACCGGGAAAGTATTCAAAGCAAATTTCCATGACCGTTTTGGAAGAACCGTTCTCATAATGAGACCAGGACGACAGGTGATTTTATAAAGTTGAAAATGAAAGAAATAACAAAATACTTTCGTTATCCTTTATATAGTATAAAGATCTAACATAATAATCTAAATCATTATAGAACACAACATCAATGGACAACCAAATCAAACATCTAGTGTACTTGATAGAAAACGCAATCCTTTATCTTCCAGAAGGCCAAGAAGAAATGGTATGGCTCATAGATTTCACCGGATGGTCTCTTAGGACCAATGTCTCAATTAAAACCGCACGTGAAACCATCAACATTTTACAAAATCATTACCCTCAAAGGCTAGCCGTTGCCTTTCTCTATAGCCCACCACGCCTTTTTGAAGCATTTTGGAAGGTTCGTATTGTGTCAAGAAATAGCTAACCTATTTTTATTTCTTTATTTTACAATATTGTACTTTCAAGATTTGTTTCTAGTAAAAGTCAAAACATACATTGTGCTTTTTAATATGTAGGTTGTTAAGTACTTCTTGGATCCAAAAACATTCCACAAGGTGAAATTTGTGTACTTGAAGAATAAAGAGAGTGTGTCGCTAATGGAATCTTGTTTTGATGTGGATAATCTTCCAACTGAATTTGGTGGAAAGGCGACTATGAAGTATGATCATGAAGAATTCTCGAGATTGATGATCCAAGATGACGTTAAAACCGCTAAATTTTGGGGTTTGGACAAAAATACCCTTGTTGTGGAAACTAACGGGCATGCTGCTCCGGCTTTGGTTGCATAAGAGTTGAGTCACTTGAATGGTTACAATTGTTGTATAAAGTTTATAGGCAGGATCAATTTGTGATGTTTTTCCTGAATTTTGTTGAGGAACCTTGAATTCTCTATCTATTGGTGAAGTTTGATGCTTCTATTATTCCTAATGGAACTTTGTACCCTGTTTTGTATGTGTTTTTTCAAAGTGATTATTGTGATTTTGGGCTATATAAATATCAAATCATAATCAAAACAACAAAAACAAAAACTAAGGGTTTTCTCAACGTGGCCCATGACATAACATAATAATAGCGACTAATCAAATAATGAGATGATTATCAGTTGCTTGAGAGTAGTGAGATTATTGAACATTGATCTCGATAATCTGTTTTTCATATACTAACTTCATATATGATTTGTTTTTATCCTGATTATACAAATTCTATTTTTAGTTCAAACATAAATTAAGCTCTTGAGAGCATTAGGCTCTTATGTCAACCACATAACAGATCACTGTGTGTCTGATTTACAGCACACAATGCACATCACAACTGATGTTCCACGGTTGTTAGAAGAATAATTTTTTTTTTTGATAGAAAAATGCACTTTATTGTTACAAACTTTTGAGAAAAGAGAAAGTGTTATTCATTACACCATGATAAAGTTTAATTCTATTAACCTTACTAATAACAAATGAAATGAAAAGATGCTTAAATTTAATTCTATTATCTTCATCAAACCAACCAAGCATATAGACTTCATAGTACCTAACTTTTTGCAAATCCGTATATTCATAGAGTTCCTTAATTATGAAAAATACTAAAACTTAATATAGACAATACATAAACCCTAAACCCTTATGCCAAACACTTGGGTCAACGTCACATCGATTTGGTGATAAAACTTATGCCAAAGAAAGTTGTTTTCTACACCCTTTATAGAATATAACCAAAATTTGAAAAGAAATAATAAAAACACAAAAAGGAATAAGAGGAATTACTATAGCCGCCTTCTAAAGTTTCGAGTGGTAGATTGATATGTTCGAACAAGAAGACCAACTCCAATTCCAACCCCGAGACAAACACCAAGCCCAATTCCGACTCCGACTCTCACTCCGGCATTGAACCACGAGAGTGCTCCATCTTCTCCTTCCAAGTATTCCATTTGATTCCAATACGGGCTCATCTCATAATTCTCATGATTCTCATTTCCACCCTTGTAATTCCCATATCCACCTAGCTGTATAGCAATGAGAGGTAGTATATAAAGACTAAGACTGAGCCAGATGTCAATGAGAAAAAGTACAATTTTTTCCCACTCCCACTTAAAAAGATGGAATATAGTGGGACCGATGTCATGTGGGAAAAAAACAAACTTTTTGTCCCACGATTCTATTCATACACTCTACTACTAAATGTACACCACCATTTTAATTTTTTGACAAAATTACATAAATGGTCCCTGTAGTTTACCAATGGTCAGAAACTCAGTCTTTGCTAATTTTATGACGAACATAGTCACCATGGTTTCCAAAATTTGCGTGAATGGTCCTTTTTGCTAATACCGTTAGTTTTCGTCCATTAGTGTGAGGGTAATTTGGTCTTTTTAAGTAGTAGGGATCTAGTTTGTGACCATAGGTAAACCATAGAGACCATGCACACAAGTTTTGGAAACCACAGAGACCATGTTTGTCAAAAACAATTAGCAAGGACTGAGTTTGTGACTTTTGGTAAACCACATGGACTATCTATGTAATTTCGTCTTAATTTTTTAATATTTATTTTACTATCCAGACACCCCTAATTACTTATTGTACCCCTGATTTAACATTTTTTTGTCAAATCAAAAGGGTGTTGTTCATATTGTTGCATAAACTGTTTTCACAGTTAACATGATGCAAAAACTAACGTTAATATATTTTAAATAATGTTATTGAAATCTACTATGAATTTAAGCTCCAAAACAACTATAGAATGACTACCTGAAGATCAAGTCCAGGTACAACGTCTTTACGAGATTCCGATTCCGCACTCCCATACTCTGGAATGGAATCCAACATTCCTTTCCGATTTTGCTTCTTCTTGAGACTAATCTGTAAAGTTTTTGTCAAAATAATCGGTGTCCCAGAAAACGATCCCGCAACATAAACTTCAATCATAGGTGGCAATGAATATGAATCACCACCCTTCAAAAACCCATTTCCACCACAAATCATTGATTCACAACTCATACTCCACTTCCCATTATCGTTATCTTTTGATTCATTTGACATCTCCAAAGTCCCAAAAAGAATCAGATCTTCACCATCAAAAACCTCAAACTTCACACCACCTGACAATCTTATACTGTCTGTACTTACAAAAGTAGCTTCTTCAAATTTCTTGTCTACTCTGTTCTTTTTTAGGCGACAAGAACTACCCTCTGATTGGAGGCTACATCTTCTACCATTTACTTCAAGGACAGTATCAGGGTCTAATGGGATATGGTTGAGGGTGAGATATTGAGGGGTATATCCGTCAATCATGAAATTGCTTATTCTAACGTAGAACACACGGATATCAAACCAAGATATTAATCGTTTACCATATGATGGGTAAGAGGGGTGCTTTATAATCTGAAGACCATGATTGGTATGATTAGATTTTTCGTATGAATCTTTCTCCATGTTTACAAGAGCTCTTAAACATCAAGCATAATTTGCAGAGGAACCCTAGAAACAAAAAAAAAAAGCATAAAAAACCGAACTTTGGATTAGTATATTGAGCACCGGGGACTGGTAATTGAGTTTGTAAGTTACTAAGTTATAAAGAAGTTTTGGATTAAGAAGCATTTATACAAACAGGTGGTGTGCGACATAGTGACACACACATTTGAACGATTTCTTTGCAGGGTTCAAGTTATTATTTTGTAATCGAATCACATAGAATTGAAAAAGAAACAGAGATGAAAGAAGATACAGAAATCTGAATTATCAAGAAAGAATTGGGGTGGAAAGAGAAGATACGCACCTGAAACAAAGGATTCAAAGTCCAGACGAGAATTCCTGGTCTCTGTTCAATTTCCTAGGTTAAGATTATGATCAAATTTTACTAATTTAAAATCTTTTAGCGTGTAATTGTGTGTGTGTGGTGTGAGAGAGAGAAAGAGATAGATATAAAAAAAGAGAGTCAGGGGCTGCCGATGATAAATGTAAACAGCAGGTAGCCACTAGTATTGAATAAATCGCAAATGGTATGAAAATCTTGAATAGTTTATCAATGTTTACAGTCCACAAATGCAAAGAAGTCACTCTCACCAACGCCCACTCAACTTAAGAAGATTAAATTAAATCTCAGAGTGATTCCTCAAATTCCTTTCAGATACCCCACCAAATAGGTTTAATTCTCTTCAAAACCACAAGTTTCAAAATATTTCTCTTGGTATCAACAGAAACAAAAAACAGCCACACAAAAACTAATCGATATCTTGAACACCTAGAATGCAATGTTCTCGAATTCCCCTTTGTTCTTCTACGCACACATAGATGATACATATGCATATGTATAAAGATGAAATCGACAGCGATAGGTAGGAAAGCTGGGATTTTGTTACCTTATCCAGATATAAACATGGGGAGGAGGGATGTGCAATCACATTCACGACGACGGAGGTACGATAATCGTCTTGTTGGATCGGATGAGATGAGAGTGATATATGTCAACTGAGCAAAGATTGGGAATAATGAAGAAAGTTTGTACTGCTATGAATCATGTGTTTCGCATTCCCCTTAGTTTAAGGTTAACTGGTTTCCTAGAGATGCAAAGTTTTGGAACCATCACGCATATTATAAGAGTTTTGGTTTTGCAATTTTATGCATAAAAATCATTTATAACGTCAAAAACATATGGTATTCATATATATCAAAATAAAAATACACCGTATGTGCAACTCTATATTGACAATGTATTCACCCGTGAAATTGATTCCACATTAGCATTATATCTCTTTCATATTACATTCACTATTGTTTGAGATGGTGTTCACTAGCGAACATCTAGTGAACAAGAGAAAGAAAAGAAAAAAGGATGAGAGAGATAGAGAGAGGCCGATAAGTATTTTGGGAGAAATGATTTTGATTGGTTGTGAGAATTCATGACCAGTTTCAATCATCACCACCTTTACACCTATTAGGGGCGGTGGTCACGCGTGAACATCCCCTCCACATATATCTTTACACACAGAAACACCCCCATTACCACATGGCCTAAGTGCAGAAAAAATAAAATAAATATATATATATTATTAATTTTGGCAAAAAGCTGGAAACAACTCTAACTAGGGTGAAAAATGCGATTTTCACTGACTGGTTAGGTTTTTAACAACTATGATAGATAATTTTGTAAAATTCATAATAAATTGTAGAAAATCGTATGAACTAGTAAAATTAGTCCATGGAAAGCTGAGAGACAGAGCTACTAAATTATGAACTTGATTACATTTTTCACAGGTTTTAGTAGGGCTAAAGCAGTCTTGAATAGATTGTATTGTTTTGTGAAAAACAAAAAGGTTTTGTTTAGTCAAAAACAACTTCAATTTTATGTAAAACAACTTTAGAAATCAGAAAACAACTTGGTATTTCTGAAAAATAGCCCGAAAAACTGAAAAGGCAGCTTGGTTTTACTGAAAAACATCACATTTTAAATAGTTTTTTTGAAAGAAAACATCAGATTTTCTGATATCATAATTTATGCATCAGTTTTCTGCATGATAAATCAAGTTTCAGAATTTCTATATCAAAATCTATGTATCAATTTTCTGTATCAGAAATCAAGCTTTAGAATTTCTGTATCAGAAGGTTTTCATCAGTTTTCTACCTGAGAAATCAAGTTTTAGAATTTTGCATCAAAAATCAAGTTTCATAATTGTTCATATATAGATTTTTAATTATATTGAGTTGTGTCCAAGCAAGAGGCAAGCATATTTTCTAGAAATTAGAATTCTAAACATTTATATTTAGTGTATAAATGATTTTAGAAATGTCACCATCCAAAGTGGAATGATTTCCGAAGTAAACTCTATAGATGCTAACTCCATTGAGTGATGGATTAATATGGGTGTTACACGCCATGTGTGCTCAAATAATGAGTGACAAAAGAATTATAAGGTTGTCCAAGTTGATGCAGAATTTTATTCTTGAAATTGTGATTCTAAACACTTAAACTTGGTGTTTAAAACATTCCAGAAATGGTATCACATAGAAAAGAGCTAACACTTAATGACGTGTTGTATGTTCCATAGTGTGACAACCCGAAAACTTTTTGCTTTGAAAGCTCAGTCAGTCAACTCAACTGAGTGTCAGACTCATTGGTAATGAGTTCTAGCCTGGTTAAAGGTCATTCTAAGGAGTTTTAAGCCTAGTACACTTAAGGAATGAGTGTTAGAATGTACCTGCTAGAGACACTGTACAACAAATCCAGCCTTAACCTCATCATAAGGAGTTCACGGCCACAATGTCAATGAGTTTACGACCGTAAACTCATGTGGCCGTAAACTCAAGTCCATATATATGGCCCTTGATCATTTCTAGCCATTTCTTACATTCCAACCTCAAGAACACTCCATTTCTCTCTCAACTATCATCCCGATTTTCATCCTAGATCTTCAAAAGTTGTAAGTGTTCTTCCTTGATCTGTTGATACATCTCTTAATCTAGTATCATCTAATGATTTCATCCATGGAAATCATCTTTTCTTAGATCTTCAAGAAACACCAAGAACACCAAGAACACACACTAGTGTTCTTGGACCTTAATCACCATTTCAAGCCTCTAGATCGTAAGTACTCTTCCCTATACTTGATATCTAGTTAAGACTCATGCTTAGAACCTTGAAATCATCAAGAATGCAAGACCAAAAGGAGTTTACGACCAAACCATCTCACATGGCCGTAAACCCCTATAAGGGTGCCATTTTGGCCATAAACCCTCCTAGATGCAAAGCTTGTGACCTAGAACCCTTCCTTGATGAAAATAGGACCTTGAACAACTCTCAATTGCATAATGACCATGAGTTTACGGCTGTAAACTCCTTGCTTAGCCGTAAACACATCAAAAGCCTCCATTAGGATGATCTTTATCATCTTTGTGTATAGTCATGGCCCTTCAAGTTTCCCTAGCCTTCAAACACCCTCTTATGCATGTTTGACCATGAGTTTACGGCTGTAAACTCCCATGGCCGTAAACTCATGGTAGTGTCATTCCACTTTCCTTTGGTGAATCACATGTGATTCCAACACTTGGTCAAAGTGTTTCCTAGTCCCGTGAGGTGTTTTCTTGCATTGGGTTGCTTCCAAACACTATATTTATGTCAGAATATGCCAATATATGTCATTTAGGACTTGTGGTATCTCGGGACTTCATTCGTGGAACTTCTCATCCTTACACGCGTATTCGTTGAATCACCCACATCAGGTGAGTTCATACCCCGAAATGAATCTTTTAAACTGTTTTAAATGCTTTTAAGGGGGGGGGGGATACAAGTTGAACACAATGATAATTGTGTAATTGTTTTTTATAAACATCTTTCAAAAGATTGCTTATGTCTTTTATAAGTGATCAAAACATTTCAAAAACTCTTTTAAAGTTATGTTACTTTATAGTTTTACAAAACCCCGTTTTTAAAGTACAATCATAACTTAGTTGATAAATGAGTCTTTTCAATAACAGTTCAAGTAAAACATTAGTAAACTATAATAGGTATAGTTTAGGAAGATACTACTCATTACTTCTAGTACAATGAAGCATACAAAGAGTCAGTTCATACATGAGTCAAAGCATACTATGATGAGAAACTAAGAGAACATACTATTATGAGAAACTAAGAGAACATACTATGATGAGAAACAAAGAGAACATACAATACAGCTAGTACATACAATACATATACAAGTATACTATAACATAAATGTGAATCATTGTTTCGAGGCATGGCATCACCTGTCATGACTCAATTTGTAGCCAGAATCTCCTAGAGGGAGAGCGTGAATTTGGGTATAAATATATACTGGATTGACTATCCTACACCTTGCTGTTCGCTACAGTGGGATTTGCAAGTCTACGGGTGCCAAATGTCATTTCTTCGACGTCTTTCATCGTCGTGTTATTAGTCGATAGTATGGTGCAATCATATCACATTATACCTTAAATAACAATTGGTTTAAGGTAGGTAGTACAGCAGTAGTTACTATAATACAATTCTACAATACTATTATTATTTCCCCATTTCATTCACATTGTGATCTTCTCACAATAAACGTTAATGTAAAAACTATATTTTTGGTTAATGATAGTCTCACTTGGGAAAATACACACTCATACAAGAAACAATCACATATAACATTAGATGCCTTGGTAGAAAGCTCCGTTTAATAGAAAGGACCATAATGCTAACCTTACGATTCCTTAATGTATACATCAAAGGATATACATATATCAATAGGATCCGACAGGTAATAGGATGTGTGCTCTCCGCTTCATTCCTTATTCCTTGTTTGGTTGTGGGCTTGGAACGAATTCACCCAGTCTATTTTCTATTCGATTCTGGATATATATATGTTCAGTACACATTAAGTCATCATAAGGGTACCAGGTATGGGTCAAGTCATAGGACACAGAGTCAATGCACAGTTTTCTAGTACAAAACATACTTTCCAAATCAGAACTTTTAGTATACAAAACTAGAAACTTACCAATTAAGGGTTTAATCCATTTTATTAAACCAGTATAAACTTAAAGGACCTTAGGTGATTAACTCTATAATACCTGAGTTTATACATGACAGTTATATATCATTAATACCCAATAGGTAGTTGGATGTGTGCTTTCCGCCTTAATTCCTGTTTCTTGTTTGGTTGTGGGCTTAGGGCAGATTCACCCAATTAACTATCTATTCGATATTAGATCATATATAGCCAGTATAAACTAAGTGATTATAGAAGTAATCACTGTGGTCACCATTTTATTATAAGGAATAAGGGTTTTCTTAAAGAATCTTTTCATTAAATATAAAGGAACCATTACAATTAACTCCATGAGTAACAAGTGAATACACCATGGTTATATACCACAATGATCAAACAAACAATGGGACGTGTGTTTTCCGACTTAGGGCAGATGCGCACAATCGATTGTTTGTTTACTCTGAGTCTTATATAACTTGTATCCATTTAGTACTCATAGAAAGGATTGTAGAGTCATTTTTACTTATCTTTCATCAAAGTAGGAAATATAGGATTTTCTAAGAGGAACAGGCGAACTTTTCTAAACAGAACTTACAACTTACTACATTTTCAACAACATTTTACAACAACATTCTACAACTTACTTACATCACTAAAATCTTATGAACTCACCAGCTTAATTGCTGATCAACTCTTTCAAATAACTTGTATTCTCAGGAGCCTAGTAGACAGGTACTCGCGCTGGGAATTCAGAAGATGGAGCATAATAGCTTCAAGTCTTGTTTTGTTATTTGCGTATGTATTCTATGTTTTGTGAACACACACATTGTAAACACTTTTTTTCTAATGAAAGGGTTGTTCGTTACTTTGCTTACTATGATGCATGTCTTGTGATACTAAACATGACGTCCTCCACCCCCGAACGATTCCGCCGTTCCGGTTTTGGGGTGTGACACATAGATTAGGAAGAACTTAGTGTTTGGATGGTTGTTGAACAAACATGGTTTTTGTTTGGTGTTTGATTCAAATATGTTTCTACTAAACATAAAGGGTATGCTTGTAGGCAAACGTTATTCGGATGGTGGAATGTTTAAATTCCATGTAATAACTATCAATGACATGAATAACCCTTCCACTTATTTATTTGATTCTTTTAATGTG